TATATGTCTGTATCTCGTTTTCTTCTTTTGTTGTTGTCGAAGTAGTTGCCTGTGTTGAGTAATAACCCCAAACTCGGGGTTTTCATCACCCTGGTGTTATCAACCGCAATGTACCAGGTATACAACCACGTGTGTCCAAACTGACCGTAATGATTTTTGTGTGATACCGGTTTATTATAAATAACTAGTAGCCTATGTAAATTAACCTTTGTTCATACGAAAGACAGTTGATGTCTTTTTAGATTTTGATTAATATATATCCCTATTGATTTACGAACCATGCATTCAAATTCACGTTCTTCTAAGTCGCAGATGCCTACATAGTCCATCCTCGAAGAAGATGGCTCCAACGCCGACCAATGGATAGCTGTCCTCGATCTAGCAGCATCTCAGATTTACGTTAAGAATCTAAATCCAACACTAAGCTATGTTGAACGTATCATCCTATGAAACATCATGAGCCGTACGATCAGGTTCTTTGGACATTTCGTGCCGACTGTACACCTGCTAAGCGCAACACAGTTGCAACCGGTGACTTTGCTGCGGGTCTCAAGAAAACATGATGGAAATATTTCTTGTGGATTCCAGGTATCCTATAAAATAAATAAATATAGTCCGCTGTCTGCAGTCTGCACTCTGTGCCTATCAAGAAGGCTATGACTCTGCTATAATACATACATTTACAGTACAGTACTCATAATAGTCGTGCCAATTTATTTATTTTGGGATTCTTTGGGGTGTAGTAGACTGTACACCGAGTTTACTAAATATATGGAAGCTAAGGTAGATGTCTGCTACCTTGACTACTACTGCTAGTGTACAAAAGGACCATAGCTAAGGTCATGTGCTCCTAATGAACCTTGGTCAGTCCTATCTAATCCTAAAAGGTCCATGTGCTAGAGCAGGTCTGTCCTGGGAAGCCTGGGACTCGGGACAGCCTAACAACAATATATCGGAACTGCAAGGTGATGAGTCATCATCTAGGACTTTCGGTCCTGTCATGGGAATACAGGACAGATGGGTCCTGACCTTGTTATAGGACAGGGCCACAGGTGGCATGGACAGGTGTCAAGGACATGACTACCCCTTAATATAGTGTCAAGTAGTGTCGTTGCTACAGGGGAAGGTATGCACAATTTTACAAAAACACCGGACCAGTAATTCTGTAGATTTATACAAAACAGCGCATCAGAATGAATTACATAACCTCATTCAATTTGTCCAATTATTTGTAGGATTCGCCCGCAAACGACACCCTGAACCAATGACACCACTTCGTTGTCTCTCATGACGCTCCGCGCTGTACAGTTCACATTGCACAACTTCACAACTTCACAGTGCACAGTCTGCATACTGCACACTCACTGCACAGTGACACTCGCACTGCACAGTGCACACTCACACTGCACACTCACTGCACAGTGACACTCGCACTGCACAGTGCACCCTCACACTGCACAGTGCACACTCACATTGCACAGTGCACACTCCCACTGCACAGTGCACACTCACACTGCACACTCACACTGCACAGTGCACACTCACACTGCACAGTGTACACTCACACTGCACAGTGCACACTCACACTGCACGGTGCACACTCACACTGCACAGTGCACACTCACACTGCACGGTGCACACTCACACTGCACAGTGCACACTCACACTGCACAATGCACACTCACACTGCACAGTGCACACTCACACTGCACAGTACACACTCACACTGCACAGTGCACACTCACACTGCACAGTGCACACTCACATTGCACAGTGCACACTCACACTGCACACCGGCCAGACCCCCTTGTGGGACTAAATGATAAATACGACTCTACATCCTTCGACTACGTCCTACGACTCTACGCCTTACGATCTACAGTCTACACCTAGATCTACACCCTATAATGTAGAGTCAATTTTTTTAAAGCTATATAATAAGAATGCAGTCTACGCATAGCCTATTAAATAAAACAAGGCTATGGTCTACGACAGTCTACAGCTCTACGGCTCTACGCAAGAGACCTAATAAAACAGCTCTACGGCTCTATTTATTACACCCTTCGGCCTTGCACATACGGCTTACGCCCGGCAAAGGAAAACAAGGTCCACTGACTGAAGTAATGACTCTCTCTCTAGTCTCTATGTATGTACTACATACTAAATACATAGTATTTTTTAATGATCCCCTACTAGAGAAGAAATAAAATAATATGCCTGATTCCTACGGACGTTAGTCCGTTCAGCCATATTTTCTCTCTTCTCTCTCTCTGAGAGTAGAGAGGGTCAGGGCCTGATCGGACTATTGTCCGAAGGAATTATTTGTTATTTTTTTATTTTATTTAGAGAGAGAACTTATTTGCCGAACGTACTACCGGCTTCTGACCTCTCTACTAGAGTAGAGAGGTTGAGAGGGTCTTGAAGAAAAAAAAGCACACTTCCTCCAAAAACCCCCAAAAAAGCACTGTGAGTGAGGAAGTTTGGAGCCCAGAGTAGTATTTATTTACCAAACTGGTTCCAACCCAGAACCCAAGGCATCAAAAAGCTCCACCGGGAGCCTTCAGGCTCCATGCCTCCAGCTAAGTGTATAGTGCATATTTAGCGAGAGGGGAATATCATAGTCTTCTGAATTATACATCCAGAAAGCTATGGGAATATACATATAAAGATCGTTATCGCAGAATAAGCATGATTGCATCACTGCTTAACTTCACTACAGGGGTTTTATAGCATTTGTACTAGATGTCCAGTCAGAGCGCTTCGCAACCGACAGATCGTCTACTTGGCGATTTTCTGGCAAATCGTCAGAATACCGGACTCTACGATTCGACCAGCTTAAGAAAAGTAAGAAATGATTGTATCATATGAACACAGCCACTGTGGGACTACACACATGGACACTGAATAGAGTACATATTGATTACAGTATGCATAGTTTTTTTGTCTAATACACTTCCATATAACTGTCTAAGAAATTAGTGTGTATAGTAACACACACTCGAACTTTCTAATAGAACTATGTCTAACGATATAATTTGAAATCCAGTTGACA